AATCTAAAAATCAATTCTAAATGAAATGAGCCGGAGTAATAAAACAGTTGTTGTTTGTTGAAAGCCAGTCAACTGTAAACTGTTAATACAAATCTTAGTAATGTTTAGTCTCAAATGTTAAAGTCAATGTTGTCTTTATATTGCATATAGATGTGGTTATTTTGATACCAGAGACATACATTACTCTGTTGGAGAAAATACTTTCTCATTGATTGTCCTGTTGGCCTGAGATTACTCAGCGGGGTTCAATAGATTTTCAGTAGCCCAAGGGTCATGAAACTAAATCATCGCTCTTCTACAACAATGACAGACTCACAGTCGTTAAGGAACAAACCATGTTTGCCTTGATTAAACACACCTCTAAATCTTTATACGTTTACAAAAAGGTCGAACCAGCACGTTTTGTTGCAGCTTAATGTATTGTTTCTGACGGTGTTCATGTACCTGTCAGATCAACAAGAGACAGCTTCATCCAACATCTTCAGTATTTACAGTTAGCAAATGTGGTGACATGAAGATATTTGACAGATACTGTTATAATAAAAGATAATGTAATTAAGAAAAAAAGTTGACTAAAGTTAAGAGCCTGTTATAAAAAGCTACTACAGATAGATTTAGCATATTTAGATATTTCAAAGTCCTACACCATGCTACTACACCTACTGCTGGGATATATTTAAATTGAGCTTATAAATATGTATGTTTTGCATTTATAACCTCCATTGCACTTTTATATCTCATACATACAGTATGTCAAAGCGCTACAGATACAATATATTTGTTAATAGCAATAGATCATCTACATTTATGTTTGGATCAATTGTTTTGTAAATTGGTAGTTGATCACATTGTGCAGGCTGCCAAGGTCCTAATAATGACAATACTTTAATTTAATATGCTCAATATTAGACATTACTTATATTGACTACAAATTCCAGGCTGAATATTTGGGTGAAATATAATGTGTTAATCGCTGTGATGACAGTAATGGTGTTTTATTGCCAGTCCATAAATACCATGCACAAAGCCCGTGTCATAATTGTTTTCATAGCCTTCAATGATCCTCATTTTTCAACACAACCTTCCTGGCACTGGTGAGAGTGATGATGTCGGCTTTGTTGTTTTTTTCGTGATGCATTTATCCGTGCTGGCTTCACTGGCACAACACCCAGTATTCACAGGTGTTTCGGGAAATCATTTGTATTATTATTCAGTTACAAGGTCCTGTCCAATTTCCACCGTACAGTCTGACTTGAATGATCCTTTCACAAAAACAATATCTTAGGTTTGCTGCACGTTCATTATAAAACAAAAATATCTATTACTTAAAGTACAAAAAGAGAGCAGGTACTGTTGCACTGTGTTTTATATTTAGCAAGGACCATGCTTCCCAGGATTATCTTTTAGCAATTTGTAATATGTTCAGGTTTATTTTGGATTTAAGCTCATGGTTGAACTGGATATCAATTTAGGAAAAGGGCAACACTTACAGTTAGTAATAAAAAGGCTTAGGGTTGATAACCTTTTAGTAAAAGACTCTCTTTTACAGCTGATTAATGTAGCCTTAAGCTGCCGCCATTAATGGAACGAAACCTTTGTGCTAGTCAGGGGCGGTTCTAGGGGGGGGCCAGTGCCCCCCTAACACTGACCTCTGACCCCCCTAAAAATGAAAAGTGAAAAAAATGAAAAAATGTATTATTTATTACACGATCTATTGAATGACGGAATAGGCGGAACTAACGTTATTCGTCATTCTAGTCGGACCCATTAGAGCGGTAAACTCAGGACCCATTAGAGCGGTGCACTCACTTTCACTGTCCGGCTGAAGCGCGCGAAAAACAAACACTTTTCATCTCGGATGACTATAAGATAAGGCTGTTGCATCCAAGAAAGACTGATTGAAACCTACGTTTCGAGAGACTACCACGATAATTGAAGGTGAGTTAAACTATTGTATCCGTGTAATTGTAGATGTAAAGTAGAGATGTAACTGTTCATTGCCTTTATTTTTATATAAATATGATATGGTGTTAGTGCAAAAATTGTACTATAACTTAAGCTGAAGCTAACAGTAATAACTATAAGATATATCTGAAATAAATAAGTGTAGTGAAACAAATACCAATAACTGTATTGCATTGTTTTCTTATGCGCAATTACTTCATACTGTCTAGTTCTCTTTTTCGTCCTGCATTTATTGTGCTCCCCTCAGAAAATAACTGGCCCCCCAGCTGCCCCCCCAGTCAAATTGGTCTAGAACCGCCATTGGTGCTAGTTCAGGCAGTCAACTCGAACCCCAATGATACATCTACACGTGATATGCTTTACTCCATAATACAACCAACCAAACACAATCTCCGTAATCTGGCACTTGTTATATAATAATCACTCCTCAACGATCTACGTAAATAATATCTGCGGTGAGTGATGAGGCTGGAACCTCAACGCCAAACTCAAACTACATATGCTGCCGTTAATAAACATTTAAAACATGAATTGTTAACTATTAAACTCAAGTATTGGACAAAAAAAAATAATTTCAATTTCAAATCAGTTTGGTTATGACAGCTTTATGGAAAAAAATAAATCCACTTAACATTTTGCTGGACATTTTTTTGAGTTATCAATTAATGCAGTGTTTTTTTTGATAATGTGTTGTTACACTCATTAGGGAAAAACATTGGAGCAATGTGTTGTTAATGTGTAATCTTCAAATAAAAGACTCTGATTAATTCACACAGGAATTGAAACGCCCTTTTCATAATCAAGCGCAATCATTCATTACCGCATTTGCGCAAAGGAAACACAGACAAATAAAATAAACATTTGTATCAATATGCAGAATCCAATGGTAGTTATTGTACACTATGATAGAGACATACAGCTTTGGGACCAAATATAGAGCAGCGGCTAATTTCACCCTCACTCTGCCCAGGAGGACTTCCCCTTCAAGCTTCAGCCAAAGCCTGTAGCTGTTGGCCTGGTTTGAGTTTGTCTCTTAGGATCCGTCAGCAGCCAGTCTGTGTGCTGGCAGGTGGTCTGCAGGCATGACCAATACACTGCAGACAGACAGACACACAGACAGACAGACCCTGCTGGGGCCGGGCTCTCTGGGACTGCTAATCTGAGGCCAAGCCAGAGTCCTCCAGTCTCGTAGCTCTTGGCTCACTGCGTCACCCTCCGATTCCAAAACATTGTTGAACTCTAAACTGCACTTACCTTCAGGCTAGGGCAAGTTCCTTTAGTCAAACAAAACCAAGCAAGTAAACAACATGGATAGTACCACTAAAGTCAAAACACATCATACATACAGTGTTATGAAGCAACGATTTATCTGTTTATATAAATAGGGCTTATAATATTTGCAAATACAAAAATCATCAATGTGTCCAGGGATATTATAAGGCCCATGAATTCGGATGACAATGATTTACAGTACTAATCTCCCTTGTTTAATGATGATCGCATCTGTGTCATTAGCGAGGTTGTGATTAGTCAACCGCTTAGAGATGTCCCGCCCCTCAGCTGCAATGTGATGTGTGAGCGCTGGCCAATAGAAGCGCAAGTGTTACATAGTGATATCACTTTGTTACGAAATTGAACAAGGAGTCCAATCGAGGCATGGGGGGGGGGTAGTATGTGGTAAAGAAACTCCCTCTGGAGGGAACTTTGGGATTTTAGCGTTTGCAGACCATTTACTTGCACAAGACCCATAAAACATACTACAGAAAAGAGAAAACCCAGAAAAGCACAACATGGCCTCTTTAAAATATTTAGTTTTTCGGAGATGTGACCATTGGAAATAAGTCATCTGGCATGAAAATAGCATTTAAAAAAAATACGACTTAAGAAAAACAAACAATATCTAACTAATCGAATAAGAGGGTGCACCCTACTGCACGTTGTACTGCTGAACTAACCCAGCAACTGCTGATTTTCATCAAGTCCGAGCTGGTGATGTTGTACAAATTAAGTATAGCATGTGAAAGCAGCGCAGCATTAGTACTGACACAGTGTTTCTATCCACGCTGAACAACCTCGAGGTTCTCTTCACACATCACTGCTAACAGTAACAATGACTGTTAACACTGACTACTCCCCCTTGTGCTTCAGTGGGGTCACCAGGGGATGAAGGAGATCACTCAGAATTAATTAGTAGAGATGATTTATTTTAGCTGACACTACAAAAGAGAGAGGACGTCACACTGCGTTCAGGGTACATTGCTGAGATAATCTCCTCTGCTGTGTTCACTTGTTCCTTTCAAAGCCTGTTAACATTGATATAACATCACTGTACCCTGTTATGTGTTATTCTATATTTTTCAGTGTCAACAAACTCCATGAAGAGACAAAAAACACAAAAAACAATGATCCTAGTTACAGATGTAGTGTGGAGAGGGCTTTGTCATAGTATTTTAACCCAAAAAATATAATATAACTACGTTTGATAATAAAACTAATAGTAAAAAGAGAGTTGAGTGCAGTTTAGGAGGACTCTCGACCTCAGTATTAATAATTCCCTGGCCCTGGGTACTTTATTTAAGAGAGCTTTGACTTAATCATACACTGTCCTGATGCAGTAAATACTCACTACACCACCAAATGCATATTAATCCGCGTCTGAAAATAGTTCCAAACTAAGGCACAATTTACTGTAACGTTTGCTTAAAACTACAGTGCTCAGCTGTATTACTATAGTCATGATGGAGCTGTGAAGATTAATTCCATTCAAGTTGGCTGCATATTCTACATTTGTTGATGCTATACTTCTCACTTCTTTATTGATTATCCTACCTTTACACCTTTTCTTAATTTCAGTGACCACCTAGCTCGCAGCAGAGGGACTCATTTTTTAGATGAATATTTTACATTAAAAAAAGACAATGAGGCTTGTGACCTTGCTCCCAACAACCATTAAGTATCATTATCATAGTTAATTCCCCACACATTACCTAGATGAACAATGGCCCATGGCCTCGGGGGATGACATTATTACTCACCCTGATGCCCAGCTCCACATTTTCTCCTCCGTACACCTCCATCCCCTCATCCAGCAAGCCGATCTCCTCAAAGTACAGCCTATCCACCACGAAGCAGCCTATCAGGGCAGGGCTCCTGAGGGGGGTTTAAGAATATGAAAATCAGTTTTGTTTCTCTTATGCAGGTAATATTATCTTGGCACGGTTTCTATAGTAACAGGGGAAAGAAGAGAAATGTGTCGTTGTTCAACATATAATTTGTTCATGAATGCTGCATGAATTACCCATTCAGCAGGCCTGACATTTGGTTAGTTTACATTTAAGTTAAACAATAACATAAAATCTTGTCATTTCATTCAGGCTACGAAGACAGCTGGTCACTCACTGGATTGGTGCGCTCTTGTTGCCTTTGTGCCACCAGGATTTGGGTGGGTTAAGGTAGCGACACCACAGCTCCCAGTCAAAGCCCTGGGCCGAAAGCGGATACTCTTCAATCTCAAACGTGTCGTACTTGATGTTATCAAATGATGGGGAGATTATGCGGGTTCTGTCTTCTTGAATTCTCTGCAGAATGGGTTCAGCCCTTCAAATACGGAAAGAGAAAATATATTTAACTGAGTAAAGGTTTTGACAGGCTTTCAAAGTTACCTTGGAGATCACGCCTCATGAGTGAGGACACTTTTTAGAAACCAATTTCATCATTAATTCAATCCAATTTGTTAGACTGACAAACCATTATTTCCCATCTGATATGTTAATGGTCATTTTTCTAATTGAAATATGAAGTGATAAAAGATGAAATACACACAAGGTCATTTCATCGACATTTTGACAAAGTGATCAAAGTGTTTTATAACTTTAAAACATGGAAAACATGCATGATACAGTGTGTGATGTTTTTCATCTAAAAAACTATACAAATGTAATGAGATATGAAAATGTTAATCAATAGTTCTACATTTAGGGAATTAAGCCAATTGTATTTCTTGTTGAGAGTGATACGAAAAAATTGTTTTCACTCTTATGTTTGTACGATTAACATGAAGCCACAACCAGGAGACTATTAGCAGAAGAGGACAGGTTAAGACAAAAAAAACAGCTATGTCTGTCCAAAGTTTAGAAAATCCAAATATCAGAAGGATGGCACTTCTCTGCATAAAGTTGATAGCTTTAAATATATTGGTGTATGGCTAGACTCTGAACTTTCATTTAAACTACATATAAAGCATGTAATACAAAAAGTCAATTACGGAATCAGTGTTTTACACCGCTCTCGCAATTGTTTTACGCTCAGTGTCCGTAAGATAATTGCTTCTCAACTTATTCTTCCGATTATGGACTATTGTGATGTTGTCTACCAAAATGCACATACATCAGATCTTGCTCCACTCAACATAGCCTACAATAGACTATGCAAATGTGTTCTTGGTTGTCCTTCTCGTATACATCACTGCACAATGTATGACCAACTTAAATGGCCTTCATTAAATGTAAGAAGACACACGCAAAGGCTTCAGCTGATATTTAAATGCATTTATCTTAACTATCCCCCTTATTTAAAAGCAGTATGTTGTACCCTACTCGTCAAATCCTCAAGTTAGACATTCTGTCCAGATTTATTTCTCTGTCCCCTCTGCAAAAAAATGGATTGGCAGAAGAGCGTTCATGTTCCCAACAGACTGGAATACTTTACCTGCTGCTATTAGATCTCTTGCATCATTGGGTATATTTAAACATGCATTGTTATCTCACTTTCAACTGGTCTGCTCTTGTTATTGATGAAACTGATATTGATGAAACTGATCGGCTCGACTGTCTCTCAAATTGTAATGATTGTAATGATTGTATGTATTACTTAAATTGTACTTATCAGACTGTGCGTGATTTGTCTTGTTTGACATGTTTTGCTTTTTGTCTTTTTGTTTATGTATGTCTGTAAGTTGTTGCTATTGTCAGGACCCCCTTGAAAACGAGATGGTGCATCTCAAGGGGTTTATCCCAATAAATAAAATGTCTATATATTATGCAAAGCGAATAAAAATTGCTTCATGCTGCAGCTTCATTTTTGGCAAGAAAACGAATAACCAGTAAGATACAGTTTACAAATTTAAAATTAGATATTCGTACAATGAGGCCTTTCGAAGTTTCTATGACAGATTTGGGAAGTGCAAAGGTATGCGCCGGAGTATGAGTACCCTGGCAGATAAGCGATCTTGTGCAGAGTGTATTCTTTGTATATATACATATATTGAATTAATGCTTGTGTCAGAGATACAAAATACAGTCAGTATAAAAAGAGCCAAGCTACAGTCTTTGTTATTAAATGAAATTATTTGTTGAAAACCCACACAGAGGGATATGACTCAAAAAGCGCGCTCTGGTGTTGACCTCATGCCGCACTCGCTGCGAGTGACTCACCAGCCAACATTGAATTCGACGTGGGCATCAAACAGGGCGACCACTGGGGCAGTAGCGGCCCTCCACCCGCTCACTCTGGAACGGATCAGACCCTCCTGCTTAGTATGACGCACCAACACGATGAATCCCGGATGCTGGCTGTTGGTCTCAGACACAAAATCTTGCAGCTTCTCTTTGAGCTCTTCTGAAAAACACACATGTGAATCGTTAATAAATATCTGAAGAGGTTTTTAGGATCCACCATGGGATAGGTGAGTAAAGTACTTCTGAGCAAACCTCCACCCACAGGACGTCGTCATGTCCTCCCACAGTGGGCGGTATTTCATTGGTAGGAAGCCAAAAGTACTCACTGCTTCACCACTTTGATCACTAGACCAAAGAGGCAGCAGCTTGAGACAGCAATGCAGACCTCCATGGGGCGTACAAGTCGTAACAGGATATTGCAAAATTGAGGACGTAGCCTGAAATGCTTTTCAAAACAAGGATGAAGATGGCGAGAGTCCGTCCGGCTCCTGAGTTTACCTCCATTATTACCTGAGTTATATGTTATTGTGAGTCATATACCCTGCAGAGGGAAATAGTCAGTGCTACTTCTATGAAAAACAAGCCTCTAGTTCTCCCCATAAGTTATGATTTGAAGCAATATTTCAGCACATTTTTCTCTAGAATACAGTAAATTACAGCAATATATTATAGGTTTGCCTTCTGGTTCAACAAGAACATTTATTAAGCCAAGGCTGGTCCCCTTTTCTTGATATGAAACAACACTTTGGAGGCGGCTATGAGTTGTCAACAAATGAATGATGAAAACCACAACTCTATCACAACTTTACAATGTACTATCAGCCAAATAAAGATGGAAAGCGATAACACTTTCATCAGCACTGCGTTTCATCCTCTCTTGTATAGATCACCTCCTGCTTCGTTTTCAGTATTTCACTTTTAACCGCCGTTATCGGTGGACTTTAAAGAGAATAGGGAGCAGATCCAAGTACATAGAAACAGCCGCTGAGAAATCCTGCTGCGTCTGGCTTCTTAGAGGCAGGGTGAGTCGATTTATGATAGAAAAATATAGTTTGGTTTTTCCAGGATAAAAACAAAATTGTGAAAAAGTTATGTTAGAAAGGTTTTATCTAACAAACAGCAGTGGGTGTATTGTTTAAGTTTGTATCTGTATCTTTGATCAACTGCACAAAAGATGATTAAAGCAGCACTTATTTTCCAACACATGAACAGCCCATACAGTCCCATCACAAAGTTGGCCGAGCAACATTTTTCTCCTATGCTGCAACCACCTGGCACCTGTTCCCTATATACAAGCCTCACAGCACATATCAATCAGTGCATCCACCACAGTGAAATTCAATTTAAAATGCAAAGATATATCATATAAATATTTTTACTTCATATATTTTCAACGGCAATCCCGACAGAGGTAGGGAAAGCATGAATTATCCTCACCCAATTGTAGTTGTAATGTCAGGATGCTCAACAGCTCTTGCTAATGTTTATTTCAATATTTTTGTCTTAAAGGTCACCTATTGTGGAAAATCCACTTTTTCATGTCTTTTATACATAAAATGTGTCCCCTCTGTGTAAAGAGATTCTGAACGTTTCAGGAAAAAAGATTTGCTCACTTTTTGTCCTGATCCATTTATATAAAAACCTGTCTGAAAATGAGCTGATCAGATTTTGGCCACTTTATGATGTCCTAACGATTCTATGGCTTGTGTAACCATTAGCCAATCACCAACCAATCAATAATATATTGATGAAAAACAGTATAATAGGAGACCTTTAAACTTGCAGTTACCCACCAGTAAAAGTACTACTTACAGTAAGAGGAGAAACACTGTAAGGTCACATTCATATATGAATGAGTATAGTGTAGATATAGATAAACTCTCTTTTGTATCTTATTTCAATAACATGTTAAGACAGTTTATTTTAATAAAAAGTAAAGGTTAAACTTTTTCAGGTGGTTTTTCTCTTAATAACAATGCAAATGAACATTGAATTATGAAGAGTCAATACACCGAGCACAGAATGAACACTTCTGATTTCTTATGTCAAGGAACATTTGTTTTAATGTCAACTGTTATGTCTTCATTAATCATGTGTATGCTTTATAAATACATGTACCTACAGCAATACAAAATACAATGAAGAACTGCTTATAAAAGCATTGCTCCATATAGCTATAGGTAAACCACAATCCACAGGGTACCTTTTTAAAATTACAGTATATTCTAACTTTAGCCCAAAACACCACAGATACAAGAACACTTAACGTTGTTCAATTACTTGCACTTACTGAAAACTGACCTCATGAGTCAGCCAGGGAAATAATACAAATACTTAATAAAAAAGACATCAAAGTGTCTGAGGTTGCTAGTCCATGAAACTCAGAAAAATGCTGCTATTTATCACCAGGAGCAGAATTATACTCAATATATATATATATTCAGCATGCAACATGAAATAGAAAACATCATGCATTGTGTTAAGATCTGGTAGTTCTGAAAAGCTTCAGATAAAGAGTAGGCTAGTATTATTAATATTAAGAATTTGAAGAATTTGATGCCAGGGGCAGATGTGTAGGATTATTAATGACTTGTGATAAAAATAATTCCATAACATTTTGATTATAAAGTCCAAAAGTCAATAAAAAAATATAAAGAAAATTCATCTTCAAATCATTTCTCAAATCACAACATTTAAGCAAGAATTGTGATTCAAGCAAATGTGTTGGGATTTAGCCTTTAAACATCTTTTTTTCACTGCAGTCAAAGAACATCTTAAAAAATGAACTGTGTCTGCATTAAGCCAGCACTGGTTAACTTCCTTTTCTTCTCTGATAATTGCAATCAACACACTTCCAATGCCCTTGATTAGATATCCATGATGGGGCAGAGTTACTCTGGATCATCAAAGTCAGGGCTAAGAAACACTTACTTGTACTAATTCAAGATTAAGCATCATATAAAGCAAACACCTCTTCACTTTGGACTCTAAATTCTGGCTAATGAATGCTTGTTACTCATGCGAGCAGCTGCTGCTGATGTTCAAACGCATTACTGTATATGTAATAACTTTTAATCCATCAATAATTAAAACATTCTGATGTGTGAATTGAAAATAAAAATGATGGTGTGTTATGCCTCATAACAAATCATAATAAAGCACAGTTCATTACACTAAGAATGGCTGATGGCCAACAGCCATCAATCTTTCAGGTAGCTCTGCTGAAAGCAATGGGCTTTGCGATGGAGTTGGACTGGAACAAGCAAACAGGTTTCTAACATCGCTGTGAGCTCAGGAAGTTAATCCAGTAATATATATAAAGGTTTTTCTCAGAAGATAAAAGCAAAGTGAATGGTGAGCTGCACAATGGTGAATATTCATTTAAACCAACCTCTATCCTATCCTCAGTGTGATATAACAAAAGAAAACATTTTATGAGATTATGTTTAACTACATATGGATAATGTTTTTCTCAATCCAGTATGCTATTAACATTTCTGTATTAAAAACAAGTCTTTAAGTGGATCATGGATAAACAATCCTTTCTGTGCTTCCCTTCATGTGTGCTGAGGTTTAATTCTGTCATACTTAAAGTTACCTGCAAAACCAAGCAAAGGACATCTGATTGATGAATGGGCTTTAGTTTGTTTTGATTTTTAACCTGTTGCTCATTGACCTTTAGTTAATAACTGTCTGTATATCACCATACAAAAAAAACCTACTCCTGATGCAGCATAGAACAATATGTATTATAGTATTGTATAATAATTGAGACATTAATGTGCAATTAAATGTTTCAGCTAGTAAATCGGGGATCATTTGTTATGACTTTACCCTGATCTATATTTCCCCGACCAATGTTTGATCTTATTTAAATCTTTAATAAAACATCATTTATTTGCTGATTTTATTTTACAATGAACATCTGAATTTGTACGATTACTTAATTACTCATATTAATGTAGTGAACCAAAATGTGAAACATTTAACTCTGAGGTGTAGTGGAGTAGTAGTATAAAATAGAAAAAGGAGGAAATACTCAAGTAAAATACAAGAAGCTCAAGGTTGTACTAGTACTTGAGTAAATGTACTCAGACGCTTTCCTCCTCTGATCTGAACTGAACTCGTCCTTGCCTTGAATACTGTATGTTCTCTTCATGCATGTTCGAAATAAACACTTTTATCAGCACACAGGCGTTACTTCTCTCACAGCAGATGGCAAATCGTCATGGATACAGGCCTCACACTTACTGTGTGGTTTGCACTCCAGCGTTTCTCACTTCACAACTGAGCGGCTGTTAAAATCTGTGTTTAATATATCTGAGTAAGACTCACTTTTCCTCAAGAGATTTTACCACTCCAGTATCAAATCCTGGGTGCCGTCACTTACTCTCACATTATGTTCGAGACCGTGGTATTATTTAAGTTTAAAATCATTAGTCCTCCGACAGCCAAGTAAGCCCTTCTCAAAACCCCGCTCTTAAAGATGAGCCTTTTCTCAAGCCACGGCATGGGACATTATCCAATTAGGGAGAAATCAGCTGGGTCAATTTGCCCTTCTCCCCCTTGATGGCTACACGTCCTCCTGCATTCTAATGCCTCTCGGAGGTGAGCTGTGACAGTGGCGGATGACTAATGTAAAGATCAGGATGCCCAGGAGGTTAGCGGTGGAAGATGACATCACAGGTCAACGGGCTAACGACATTTAGCACAGATAAGATTCACAGTCGTGGTGATAACGATAACACCAGGCCTATCAGACGCAGTGTGACAGAGTGCTCAGGCAAACAGGGAGAAATGCCATCAGCAAAATGTCAATGCGTGACTTGGGTCCCTGAAGAAGCTAAAGGCAACTTCTCCCTAGCGCTCGATTATGTGATTAAATATGAATGTTTATGGGATGTGAGCTAATAATCTAATAATGTGCCAGTGGAAGAAAACCACAGGGTTTTCAGCTTTACATTATTTAACAAATAAGTTCAACTTCCTTGTCAATACGAACCTAGGGACAGTCATTATTTGCATTCCAGCGATTGAGTTAAGTTACCATGACATATTGCAATATCTTTATTCTGTCCCATCAGGCTACAGGCAATGCTGCGTGTTTGCATTATTGACTTTGGTAAACGGAGTCTTCTCAAAGCTTGTATTTCCAATGTTGATTGCCCTTAATGGCAGTCTCAGACCTTGTTACAAGAAGCGCAGCCCATTTAAAAGTGTTTTGCCTATAAATGACCTTGAAACCGTATCATTACCTTTTTATAGCCTGCTTTCTGCCGTTGCAATGTAGTAAATTACCACGTCCACTTTTCACAGGTGACTTCAAGCCTATTGCTTCTGCCTCACTGTAAAGTCACCCATCAGTTATCTCATCAGTCATTTCAGTATTAACAACTGAACACAGCTCAGCAGTTATACATTGTCAGCATAAACTGGATATCTTTTCAACCTGTCTGTTTGTACTAATTTCAATGCATGCATATTTAGGAATTAGTGTTGCAAATGCAGACGAGATATGTACAAACACTTCATCACCTTGCTGTTTTGTTATCTGCCTTGGGGCATATTTCCTGGCTTTGCAGCTAATTAGAGAGATTCATCGATTAAATCCAGTAAACACAGCCTCTAATTAAAAACATTAGATGAATGTGGAGGTCAATATCACATATACATTTTCCACACGAGGCAATGAAATGTAAAGTATAGGCGGGGGGACCAGATTCAGTATGGCCTCCCGTACATTAAATTCAGTGTCAACGATCGTGATCAGTAAAACAAACATGTTTAAGAATATGAACGACTTTTGTTCAAGAACATAAAGACAACCTTCTGTCCTCAGAAAGAGAACACAATGCATGCAACAATATTTTTATCATTATATTATTACTTTTTTGTTGACTGGTCACTGTTTCAAACGACGTCCTTGGATGGTTGGATTTCCATCTTTAAATATTTTATTCAAAAATGTCATAACTCTTGTATTTTTGTTTATCGACACTACTTTACAAGTTCAAAATACACTCCCATAGTCATAATTAATGTGCCCCTTTGTGGGCAACGCCAAAATAATGTTTAACAACGTCAATATTTGTTTATTGGTCTATCACTAATCAAAACTTGGGGTTTGTCACATTTTTAACAATCTGGTCCAAAAATTCATCAAAGAGCAGCAAATAAATGCTCATGTTAGACGAAACACAATGAAATAATCCAGGACTGCAGTTGGGAAATACTACACAGTGAATGTGCTTAGCATAAACAGGGTGTGGGCGTCCCAGACTAATCTGATTGGTCATGAGTTACTATTTATTTTTACTCATTGATTGATACTGTTTGTTATGTGTTGGTGCATGGTTGTCTGTAATACTGAAAAGGCAGTTTAGCGACCTAAGAATCTTTGGGTGATCCCTAGGCAGGTTGTTTTTTTTCTTCATATAATCTGTCAAAGCAAAAATAATAGTTATAATGCTTCTCTGTAACGGAGGTATCACTGGGTTAGGTTACTATTGTATGTAGCCAACAAATTAGCCGGACTAGTAAAAGCATTTTACGTAAGAGCATATAAACACACCATTTAATCCCTTAATTCACTTTTCTCTTGAGTTTTTGGTTAAGGAAAGTCCATAAAAAGGACCCACAAGTGTTTGGATGCAGAGTATATCTCTCGCTACAGCCGCGCACAGCACTACATCATGTTTAGAAATCCAGAGCCTGACAGGCCTGCAGTGCCTAGTGATGGTTGCTAAGCTACCACAACTGGCTGTTAGAGGGGAGGCTTTAACGAGAGGTCAATGGCTTTATTATTAAATGATGCCTCTTACTGTTATTGCTGTTGTCGTCCACCAGGATTATCTCTTTGAGAAGGTGGGAGGGCGTCCTGTTGATGGCAGAGTGGATGGACCGCAGGATGACGGAAAAGGCTTCATTCACAAAAATGAACACGATGCTCAATTGAGGGAGGTTTAAAGGGTAAGTGAGGTTCCTACACCTGTGGAGGACAGACACAAAACAAATGGTAAGGCATGGTTTTGTCTGTAGGATAACAGGGTAACATGATAGCAGGTTGATGGCAGATGTTATGCTAACCCAGCCACTTGCGGTGTATAGCAGGAGATTTTTTTAAGACATCATAAGTATAAATGTAAGACTGGCATTAGTTAATGTCCAGCAGATATTTGGATATTTAACAATAAGGCTGCTACTGCAATAGTGGTGTACCTGGAATGCAGTTTGGTTTAGGAGGAATATATAATTGGATGTGTGGTTGGGTTCTAGAATTAATCTAACCTATCTCTTTTGCTACTGCCTCCACTTGCTGTCATTTTAATTGTGAAAAAGGAGTTCAGCTTCTTCTCTCAAGAGGAAACTGATACCCGTTTCCTGGAAATGAAGAAAAAGGAAGCTATACAAATATGACTAATGCTGCAGGCAATTTCCATTTGAGTTTAATTTACAGCCTTTGACATGGAAATCATAATGTTTTCTGTGTGTAATGACACAAATACGTTTTCTTCCTCAATAACACAAATCTGGGGCAGGCTCCCAATAATAATCCTTTGAAATGACCATGTGATTTAATTGTAAAAAGTGAATTGTGGTAAGGATTGTGACATTTTAACAGTTTTTAGTCCTGCCTGTAAAATATATTGTAATCCCCATGCGGTAACCACACCATGCTGCCAAATGCCTGCTGGATTCACAGAATGCCGAGATTACTACTTTTAGGAAATGCATGCTAAAATGTGTATCCCCCAGGACAGTTTTGGATGTTTTTACAGAGCCAGCATGAGTGGGAGTGGTCTCACAGGATTTTAGCAATGTGCAGTTGAGAAATATACCCTGAAGATCGATGAACTGTGTGAGCCTTTACACCAGGATGTCACTTTGTGCGCTCTTGTAACATGTGAACACGAGAGCTGTGCTGAAAACAGAGTCAGATTGCCGATGTGGTGTGAGCAATTCTCTGTAAAGACGTTAGTATATTGACTTTACAGGATTGCTTTTCGTCCAGGGATTAACCAAAGTGCCCAGAGTGCACAAATAATTGCACACGGCTTTGAAAATATTAATTTACAGGCTGCTGAGGAAACAAGCATTTTTTCCTGCCACCTTCAGCTGGCCGCAGGGGTTTGAGTCAGATATCGGTACAATAAAAGTCACTCTTTAATTAATTCTACAACAAAATATAGTTTTCTAAGCAGCAATAATGTGCTTAATGCTGTGGTCCGATTTCAATTAGACACATATGTGTTTGATAGGAAACCACAAAGTGCTTTGAATGTGCTCTAAACTTGCCTTTATGTATGACAGAAGTTGAAAGTTAATGCTCATCAGATAGAGAGAAGAGGGGAATTTATTATTATTATTATTATTATTATTATTATATATAGTTAGCAAAATCTTTTTTTGACTGTTGATTGAATAAAGAAAATGTGTACACAAGAAATTGGCTCTGGGAAATTATACTCAATGTTTTATATCTGAAATTCTGACAAAAAAAGACAAATCAACAAAGATAAAAAAAAAAAGGCTTGAATGACCCCATGACTTTTTAGCTAGCACACCATGCGGTCGGTCTAGCAGTCCAATTGTAGTTGTCCACAGGGGGAAAATCGGTGTTGGATTCAAATTAAAAGTTCACATTCTCCCTCTGGATACATTTTAATCACTAGTGTGATTACTGTATGTTGATCTATCGCCATCATCGGGTCAACATCCTAGCAAATACTTCAAAACTAATGACATCCCCATTAGCCTCAGCTGCAGTTTGTGTTTGTTAGCAAATGTTCATAAGCTCACATGCAACACTAAGGTGGTGAACATGATATAAAACACAATGCCTGCTTGATATCAGCCTTGTCATTATAAGCCTGTCATCATGTTGAGTGCAGCCTTTCACTTGAAGCACAGAATAACAAGACCTCTTGCACGACCATAGATTTGTTTTTATCATTAATATGATGTATTACGTCCTTAATTTCCCAATCATAATTATATCATATTATAATCGATTGCTATCATAATATATTTATACTGTGATAGAGGATTTAATTAATCATATTGCCTACAACTACTTGTATGTTATGTGAAGACACGACCCATCAGCTTAACAAGAAAGCAATGAAAGCATCATAGAAAAATACAAATGACTAAATGACAGGGTCATTTATACTGCGACTCTATGGTAGCATGTATGTAGGTGTTGTGCACCATTCTACCTGCAGTCTTACCCATCAGGCCTGAGATCTGGGATTGGCCTGTCTAAAGAGAGTCGATCACTGAGGTAGCCGTTGTATCCGTAGTACTGGAACATCTTCAATGCCACCCGCTGGTTGTCCGGGCCGAGCTCCTGACCCCAATGAGCGAACAGCGATGAGTCGGAGAACGATGTGTCCGTCTGACTGTCCTCTCCCTTCCCTGGAGTCTCTAGGAGGCACAGGAAGACAAAAAAAGCATGAATATGTGTCCAAGACAATCTTTCTAAAGCACAGGGTTTGCGTAAGGTGATATTAAAGTGATGTAAAAAAATGATATCCCTAATATAATCACCGTGATGAATGTAGCTTTGTTAGCAGGTGAAGGGTGGCCTTTTATTTCCAGAGACTGATAGGCGGTCCATTAACAGAAACACCAGAAGTTCATACTGTCAAAGGACGAGAAGCTCTGGTGTCACCAAAACAAAAGATCCCTACTAGCAGTTGGTGGGATGTTTTGTAGCTGACATTGCTATTCGACCGACGCAGAGAAAATAAAACAAATTTACCTGAAAGTATCGCAATATACACACACAAGCTTTCTTTCATAATTAATAAAGTGATTTTCTTTGGAGAAAGTAAACTAAAACAGTGACTGTTTATGCACTAGAACAGGGCTGACTCATTATATAGCTAAACAGCACTGACAGCACTCAGAGCAGAGAGACATCTAACAAACACACATTTGGTGTGACACACAGTATATTACTTTTTGTGGTGCTTGTTGATAGACTCTGTTCATGTCCAGACTCCATAAAACAACGTTGGCATCTGTTAAAAATTCTGTCCTGCTTCCAAGAGGTCTTAATGCACTTTAGAGGCAAACTTCTGAGTGAGCTGAGCTTAACAGTCGGGGAGATTTACCCACAGGCAAGTGGTTTTCATGCAAAATAAAGTATATAAAGTCGATAGTTTCTTGAATAATATAAAATAATTTACCTCAACTGCACTTGCATGATTACAGTCTAACTCTAGCTTTCAAATGTCACTGATCGTTTTGTCTTTTGCATTGCAAATTAAATGTGCAAAATCTGCCCCAGGTTTGTCATTTCAAACAGTCAATTCATTGAGCTTTAGTACGTATTGGAACATTATGCAGTGTTTCAATCGTGTGCTGCAGTAAGTCTGAATATTGCAGTGCTTTTGTAGAGCTTTAGTGTTATTGAGAAGCACAGTGGTATCTATCATCTGTGAACATATGGGGGTGTGGGTGAAAGGCTGTTTGTGGTAACCAGGGAAATCTCTGGAATATTATTTCATGAGTACTAAGATTGCTGACAAGAGTAAGATTTATTATTTTTGCTTCAGAACTGTATCGAAAAAACAAGCTAACATTTATACAATATACACTACTAGAAAGAGATTTCATAAGAAAAAACTAAACATACCCTAATTGAAAAGGATTGAGTATAACTGAATTACATGCCATGGATGATTATTGTTAATTAAAATGTCTAAAGAGGAACATGTCACCAGGAAATGAATTCTAATCAAAATTGGTGCTGGTATCATCCGTTAATAATTTAATTAAAATCTAATGCACATATCCCCTGGAGCATAAGAAATACAACAATTAAAAAAGGGACATATTTCATTATGTAGCCACATTATTTCAGCTTATAAATATAATTAACAGTTGTTTTATCGTTTTCAGAATGAAATTCAAGCAAGTAAAATATTGATTATAATTATTTCTCCCCCTTTAATTAAATGTGTGTCATATCTGGGTTTTTTCTTCGGTTTTTGTCAAAGCTATTTTAAATTCATATTTCAATATCAAATTTGAGAACATGACAAAGGCTAAAATGTGGAAGCTAATATCCTTTTCAAAGTTTAGAAGGAATTAAATAGTGAGAAATGAACACAAACAAAAGGAGCCTTACATGAATAAAAGAGGTAAAAGAAAAAAGGCTTTGAGTGCTCAGCGACACTCGCGCCAAAGACAAGGTTAATGTGTGCATGTGTGCGTGTTTGTGTGTATGAAGTATGCATGTGTTTTAGGCAGATTGGGGGAGATTAATATTCATGAGCATATTGCTTTTACATGCAATGACAAACAGACAGTCGGGGAAGAACTAAAACAACAATATGGAGGCAGGGATTACATTAGGACAACAAAAAACTGCTTCTGAAAAGAAACACACACCTAATGTCTTTGGAAGTTGAAGGAAACTATTGTGTTGGTTACAGGGTTTCTATCCTGTAAGAAATAAAACATGCAAAGCCTTTCTTACACATGTGGTGAAGAGGACATGTTTATATTGACCCCAACACAGAAGCTCAATTTAAGAACATCTGAGCATTGTTAAAGCCCGACTGAAAACACAACTCTAAATGAATGGTTATGTTGCTCCGTAGCTGCTGCAACAAATGTTTGCTATCTGCTACACTGAGAGGGAAACACTTACCATTCATTGGTCAAAGAGTGATTTATAAAGCGACCAATTATAATAATTATTATAGGCTAATTGTTTATATTCAAAGAATCAAGAGATAATAGGGTGAAGAGTTTTTGGGAGGTTTGTGTGATAATATACAGAAAGAGCTGAAAAGAGGGAGTTGCTTGTGTTCCTGGTGGTGTGCTGAAACAGGGCCGCTATTCTCTGTCCAAAAGTTACACATTTTGCCTACCAGTTAATCCCATTCTGCCAACCATTTAATGCATGGCAAAAAGCTGAACCAGTTAGGGAAGTGGTATCAATCTCTAGCCATTATCATTAACCAATTTAAGGAATATGCAGGGCAGAAGGTACCAATACCTTTGGCCCAGTTCATGGTTGTTCCAGTCTGGTTTTAAATTGTTAGCTCTAAATGGTGAGGTACTGTGTACAATTGCTAATAATGTATTCAATGGAACATTTTTCTAAAGTAAATCTTGTTTTCCTATGATAATCCATCCATATCAATCATTTACACACAGTAAAAGGACCTAGCTGTTTTCAAGAGAAAAATACTAAATCAAAAGTGAACCAACATCCAAGATGACAGAACAGCACACAGCAAACAGGACAAGCCTGAGGGGGAATGACTTCAACTCTGCACATTCAACACAGTGTTGAGTTTCAGCGCTGTAGCAGAGGGGAAGTGCCGCTTGATAGGACAACACTGTGATTAGACTAAGGACATGATAGAAGTTCTCAAAGACTTTCAATCATGGGAAGTACGCCTGGAGGCTCATTTGTTTCACTGGTTGTGATGGTGATTAATTAGACCTTCAGAGACCGTTTCCTCAGTGGTCATCTAGCAGTAGTTAGAGCAGGTGTTGATTGGACAGGGTTACACAGGCGACGTAATCCATTTGGTGTGTCGGTGCAGGTAGAGAAGATGGTTGACAAACATGTTAGTACAACCTTTGTTAAATGGGTTACGATAAATGACAGAATATGTCACATGACTTGCTCTTTATCAAACAGGTGAATTACGGTAACCTTGGTGTTTGGAGAGCGGTTTCCTCTTGAGTGCACAATTCAGTCAACTAACCTTGGTGCTAAGTCAAGTAAAGCACAGCCAAATACCCGAGGCAAAAACGAGTGTGTGTGTGTGTGTGTGTGTGTGTGTGTGTGTGTGTGTGTGTGTGTGTGTGTGTGTGTGTGTGTGTGTGTGTGTGTGTGTGTGTGTAGAAAGGTGAAGTAGTCCCTAAGCTTCCCAGCAGCACTCTAGGCGTGTGTGAAGTGCAACAGTAAGTATGCTTCGACAGTGAGGCAACTGAGTTATAGCCGTCTGCTAGCACAGTTACAGAGGCAGTAGAAAGAATATGCAACAATGTACACACTGACAAAACTGAATCACGGGAGACCAAACAAAGACACTTAGCAAAGAAGTTGCTGAAAGAGAACAATACGCCTCCAGTTATACATGAACTACTTTTTAGAGGCACAGCAGTGCATTATTAATTATTAAATGAGATTCTTTAAAAGATAGTTCAACGTGATGAAATTGCCCAACAATGCAAAAACATTTGTATCAAATTATATTCAAGCATCTTCTTCTGTCTGTAAAAAAGAAAATTGCTGTTTTTATCACCTTAGAGAATATTCCTGTAGGTAACGCCAGCTCACCGTGGTACAGATGTAGAATTTTGATAAAACTGCTTTGGGCATTAATTTGTAGCCGGCCTCTCCATACTCTAAAACTCTATTCCATAAGAGGGAAGAGGGAAGCATTTGGCTGTCACAACTTTTGTGGAAATCAATAAAGGTTAAAATCTCGGTTGAGAGCCCTTTAAAGAGTAGCAGAATCAGTGAACTGTCAGAGTCCGTTTTCTCAGAGTAGTAATTCTTAAAAGCAGACCTCAGGTCTCCACGTTCTTAAGTAATGTATTTATTTGTTCATATTATTCAAAGAATGTATGAAGGTCTGCTATTCCTCAGACTACATGTTTTTTAACACATTTCCGGAGTCGAAATCTTTGTTTTCTGTTTCTCTATATTGATTTTAAAGAGATTTTTAGACACTGTATATACTGTATGTTATACTCCCTTTCCTACTGCATGGTATGGCCCGGTTCTACTCAACTTGACTGATTTTCAAGGTTTGCAAAGGTAGTGGATATTACCTGGTACTTTTTATATTACCATCTTAGTCAAGGCTCCGAAAGAGCTCTGCCTCAACGTCAATAAGGCCATCAGCTGATAACCCCTTCACTGAGAGGGTCTATTGGCAGTAGGACAAAAAAATACACCTGGTACGAAAAGCGAGTGGAGTTGAGCAGAGCAGTGGAAACACCGCAAAATAATGTAGTTATTTTTACAGCATAAAATATGTTTTTGATAGCAGGTAACGGTCGAAAGTGTGTTGAATAATGGAAAAAACACATTCATTTCAGGGTAAATGTAAAAGTCACCCTATTTCTGTACAGTTTTATATTGGGCTTGCCTGCGCCATACTTGAGTTGGCTAAATGCAGTACACTGCTGTGCTTTGTCTCATTAATTTAGAGATACCTTGCATCCCAACAGAACTCTCACAGTGATACAGAGCAACAAACTCAGAGGTAGTCACTTAAGACGGCTGCTGTGGAAGACACAGGTATTTAACTACTAACCAAAAATGACAAAGGAACATTGTGTTAATCAGATGAAGATCCCTGTTTGACCTTCAACTAAAACACTATTTAAAAACACGCCTGCAGTTCTTAGTTTCACAAATGTTACTTTC